ATATTATTAATATTATTTTTAAAATAGTTAATATAGTGCTACAAAACTGAATGAAGTGAGATATAAAAAATAGACAAAAAAAGTAATTCGAGTCGTTTAGTACCTTAGGCATATTTCATATTTAGTACCGCTTTTGTAAATTATAATTAATATTACATATTTTATTTTCTCTACTTTTTTGTGTACATATGACCCCATCAACCACATTTCACTGCCATTATCACATTCTTTTTGTTTTGTTTATGCAATAGTTATAAATCGTCTATGTATACCTCAAATCAGTTCAACTATAGTACAGCAACCATGTTATAGCTCTGTATGTTAATGTACATAAATACATATCATATTTTATACTAATTTCTAATAATTGTTATGTAAATATTTACTTAATGTATTTAGCAACTCTATTATTATGAAAAATAAACTGCACTTTGTTTTAAATTGGATTTTATGAATTATACGTATTAGTTAAATATCCAAATATAGAACATTGCTATTAGTACATGAACATGTTCAATTGATTAATCTTAAAATCAAGTTTTTCTGCGAGCTTATCCTGACTTGTGTAAAATGTCCTGAATCCGACCCTGTTCAATTTATGTTGCGTCAAACAAGCTACAGAAGAGCTGTGTAGTTCAAATGTTCCAACAGTTTAACATAACCTGAAATATTTGTGCAGAAATTGTTTTCTTGCACAGATAAATGTGCGTCTTAATTAATGTTTGTGTATTAAAATTATGTTGTAAATATATTTCTATGTGTTTCTATTGTTATAAATGTTTTTAAGTGTATAGTGAAGTATTGTGGTTTGAAAAAATTCTGTTGCATGACATTGAACTGACATTTACTATTAATTCCAATTTAAAAAGGGTATTGCTAATTAGAGTTGCTAAGAAATAATTCTAAGATGCGTAATAGAAGTAATTCGGGTGTTCGTTTAGATTATTATCAAAGAATTGTGCAAAAGTTGATACTGGCTCATCAAAATCCTGTCACAGGATTATTTCCTACATGTCCTGATAATGATCATGCTTGGATTCGAGACAACGTTTATTGTATACTGGCAGTGTGGGGTCTATCCATGTCTTATAAGAAGATTGCAGACCAAGATGAAGACAGAGCTAAAACTTACGAATTAGAACAAGCATGTGTAAAACTTATGAGGGGCCTTCTGATGGCAATGATGCGTCAGAAGGACAAAGTTGAAAAATTTAAGGTAACACAGAATCCTTTAGATTCATTACATGCCAAATATTCGTCAACAACAGGTCAGGCTGTAGTTGGTGACCATGAATGGGGTCATTTACAAATTGATGCTATTAGTTTATATCTCTTGGTTCTTGCACAAATGACTGCTTCAGGACTACAAATTGTTTTTAATTTAGATGAAGTTGCATTCATTCAAAATCTTGTGTTTTATATTGAAAGTGCATACTGTATTCCTGACTATGGAATTTGGGAAAGAGGTGATAAAACAAACCATGGTTTGCCAGAATTGAATGCCAGTTCAGTAGGGATGGCCAAGGCAGCTCTTGAAGCTATGAACGAATTAGACTTGTTTGGGGCTAGAGGTGGTCCGTATAGTGTGATTCATGTTTTAGCAGATGAAGCACAGAAATGCCAAGCAGTTTTACAAGTAAGCTTATTTACGAATCGTATGCAATTACATAATGCTTACTTTGTATAATTATAGTAAAATTTAAATGAAGTCAAAATCGTGTTTTTTTGCTTGTAAATAAGAAGGTGAGAACCTAAAGATAGTCAATTTCAAATTCATGTCTAGTAGCAGAATTATTTTTGTTTTAATTATTAATAATGGATATAAATTGTTTAATTAATTTAAAAATAAAATTATAGCACAGAGAAATAAAACTTATAACATTATTTACAAGTGGGTGCGATTTATTTATATTTATTGGGGTGGTCTGTATCTTTTTAGTCCATGTTACCCAGAGAATCAAGTTCAAAAGAACTAGATAGCGGTCTTTTGTCGGTAATTAGTTTTCCGGCATTTGCTGTTGACGATCCTGGTCTTATAAAATTGACCAGAGAATCCATAATAACTAAATTACAAGGTCCATATGGTTGTAAAAGATTTCTAAGAGATGGATACAAGACGCCGAAAGAGGTTTATTACGTTATATAATAAAAAAAATGGTTACCAGAATTCATTCGACGCATTTTTAGGACCCAAACAGGTTGTATTATGAGCCATGGGAGTTACGGATGTTTGAAAATATAGAATGTGAATGGCCTTTATTTTTTTGTTACCTTATCCTTGACTACTGTTTTCAAGGAAAAGTCGAAATGGCTAATTCGTTAACTGAACAATTAGAAAAAGTATGAAATTATGAAATAGTTATTAAGTATATGCTTTTTATTGTGCCTTATTTGTATTTTTTGACTAGATAATGATAAAAAGCGAAGAGGGATTAAGACTTGTGCCTGAATTATATGCCGTCCCTTCAGAACTTGTAAATGCAGAATACAAAGACCCTGGTAGTCAGAAAAGGATTGCTAGGGGTGTCTGCCCGTTTTTATGGGCACAGTCGTTATATATTTTAGGAAAATTATTGCAAGAGGTACTTTTTAATGTTATAAATGTTTTGAGGTGGTTGATAAAATATTACTTATTTGTTTAGAAATTTCTTGCGGTGGGAGAGTTGGATCCATTAAATCGGAGATTATGCTCCGAAAAAAAACCAGATGTAGTTGTTCAAGTTGTAATTTTAGCTGAAGATAACGCCATCAAACAAAAATTAATGGAACATGATATTCTCGTACAAACCATAGCTGACGTTGCCCCCATTGAAGTTCAACCCGCCAAGGTTTTATCGTATCTTTATACGTACTTAGGTAACGAAAGGAAACTGTCCGAAAGGAAAGTAGGTAAAATTATTTTTTTCAAATATAGGACGTAACAAGAAGCTCGGTTTGTCTGGAAGAAAATCAAGAGATATGGGCATCTTAAGTACTAGCAAATTGTATTCATTGGGCGATAAAATTTTCGCCTTCACTCCACAGGTATTTATAGTTTTTTTAGTTTGAAATTGATTACACAGAATTAATCGAAAACTTTATGTTGATCAGTTCACTGATATGTCCCAAAATTACATTGCCACTGATTATGAACTAATGATAGACATTTACAAGAGTGAAATCAATTTCTTGAAATCGAGCTGGCAAAATATAATGGGTCGTCCAGTGGTTGTCATTGCCTGTAGAAATATACATTTAGGTACTTAAACTATTTGGCTTATCTTCTACTTTTTTAAGTATCGTTTTATTACTTACGTTAATGTGGAACTAAATTTCTGTTTAAAATGATCGAAGAAGGGGTTAACTATTATTTTTAACGTAACTGAAGTGTCTAATATTCTTTATTACTTATTTTAAAAATTGCTTAGAGAGTACTATTTTAACAAGGCATTTTTCTTATTATAACAGAAAAATATGTGTTGAAATTGTGATTAAAAGTTTAAAATTTTCTTGTTTAAACTTTTAATATTACTATTGTAGTATTAATGGTAACCCCTTATATTAAAGGGTTCTTTTGAATAAAAACGGGTCTGACTCCGTTGCTATAGGCCGTGTATTTTTTGTGCAAGTAACTTATATCGACGCTTATTTATCCCCAAAAGATTAAGCCAATTTGCGACTAATAAAACCCCTGATGCATCTTAATAAGAAATTAATCTGTCGTAATAAAATATAAAATTGCATAATAATAATTAAGTAATAATAAGAAATGTACATGAAAAAAATGCCTTTAATGTTCTGTTGTAAAGTGCTAACGTATTTTTTCATTCATTTTCAAAAAGTATATGGTTTTGATTACAGCTTAAAACAGTAGTTCTAAAAAAGCCATAAATAAATTTTTTACTATTATTTTAATCCAAATTTATCTCACATATTTCATTTTAATTATATTTGCAATGGATTTTTTTTATCAAGNATATTATTATTTTCTTTTTACTTCCGGTATAATATTTTGGGGATAAATTGTGTATAGTAGCAAACGTAAGTTCTACAAGAAAAAAATCAGAAAATTATAGCTACAGAGCCAGTTTCCCCTCGTTTACCCTCTTTTTGGTGAACTAATTAATGCTAGAAAATAGTAGTTTACATTCCACCTTCAGGCGTTCATGATAAAAATACTAACTTTGCTGTATTTGTAATGTAATTGTCATGTTTTGCTTTTTAAAAATGACTCAGCTTTGGGATAATTCAAGATTTTTTATGCTGAACGAGGTAACGTATGATTACTATAATAGGATACATAAATATCTACATTATTTTGTGGTGATTTGATCTACCCTTACACAAAGTTTGCTCTTTATTTCTTGAGTTTTTTTTTTTGTTGTCTTTGAAACCATAATTGTTGTTGTTTGAATACGTGGTGTTGTTGTTGCATGTTGTTCTCACTCCGCGGGGGGCTTAGGATTTTGATTTGGAGGAGTACTACACTAGTTTTGATACGGCGTTGCTGGTTGACAAATTTGTATCACACCTTGCGTTCCTAACTATGAACTGGCGTAATATGCTCGGTAGACCAACACTTATTTTATTGGTCTCCTATAACCACCTAGGTAATATTTTAATCACATTAAATGCACCAATATAATTTATCTGACGCAAGTAAATATATATTTAGAGGCTCTTTGAAACAGAAAAGAATTGCAATTTGAAAGCAGAAAATATACCTACACAGTAGGGGTCATATAGAAAAAAATTAAAAATTAAACATAAGCTTTTATATTAAATAATTTATTGTGTCAGTGCAATTATTTTAGCTTTGCACTAATATTCTCAGAAGAAATAAATGTTTCTCGAAAAACCATTTACGTTTTCTTTGAACATTTTACTTCTGAAGTTTTTAAACGCTTTTTTTGAAATTGCATGACCCTAGAGTTAATATTTATAAAAAGCATGTTAATTACTAGTAACTTTGGTGATTTACATGTACATTAGTTTGTAATGCATCGAGATAACGTTTCTCTTTTTACGAAATTCTAGATAATGGAAAAATTCCGTTAGCTATGATCACGACAATGAAAAAGTTAAAATCAGGTTACATAAATGGCACGAGAGTAACCCTTGGTTATTTAAACGATTTTTTGAGTACTAGCTGTATAGCCAATTTAAATTTCTTGGGTAATCATGAGGACGGATTACCAGACAGTAAGTTCTTGATTAACAAAAATGTTTATACGGAAATACTTAAAGATATTCTGTTTCAGAGTTAAATGCCCAAGTTCAAACATACTTAGAAGGTCACATGATGAAATCCTTATCTACTAAATCGGCTTTGTTAAATGCAGCCTTAAACGGTAAAGGGCGCACAATAAAACGAAAAATGTCCGTGAGGGGCACAATTAAGAAAACAAGATCTATTAATGTGGACTGTAAGTCAAAAAGTTATTACTACTGTTATAATCTTTTACTGATTTAAAAAAAAAAAAAATTGTTTCAGCTGAAACTCTTGGCATGGAAAGTACAAATTTAGAAAGAAAAGGGTCAGTATTAATACCTACAGGTAGTTTATTAGACATTTATGATCATTCTGGACCAGCAAGATCTCCAACCCCGGAAGAAGTTAGGAGGGAATCGCCTCAACCTGACAACGTAACTAAAACGTCACAAAATAAATTGAGCAGCATTCCCGCAATAACCGTGGCTAGACATCGTAATAATAGTGATTGTCAGTATGCAGATACAGAGGTATCAATTTAAGTTTTATTTTATTTTTTTTATCATATGTCTAATAATTTTTTATTTAGGTGGAAGAATTATTTCAAATGCTTCGCGAATCAGAATCTTTAGAAGAACAGGGCGACATTTTTCAATATTTGGTTCATTCAAAAGGCCTGGATTTCGATACCGGAATGATCGAGGACGGAAAGCCTGTAACTGTTCGTCATTTGCTGAAAGGTCTTTATGAAAAAGCTTGTCAGCAAAAGTTGTGGGGTTTAGTACGACACACTGCTGGAATATTAGGAAAACGTGTCGAAGATCTTGCCAAAGCAGTGACGGATCTCCTAGTTCGTCAAAAACAAATAACTGTGGGTATGCCACCGAACAATGAGCATACCACAACTGCCCCTCTCCCAGAAGCGGATCTAAGAACGCTTATTAATGAAGCTTACGGAGAAGATAAAAGTACAGCCATGTTAACCCAAGAACTTTTGGTATACTTGGGGATGTTTATCAGAACTGAGCCCCATCTATTTATGGAAATGTTGAGGCTTAGAGTAGGGCTCATCATACAAGTAATGGCTACCGAGTTGTCGAGAACTCTAATGTGCGATGGTGACGACGCCTCTGAACATTTGCTGAATTTGAGCCCTTTTGAGATGAAAAATTTGCTTCTTTTCATTATAAGTGGGAAGGAGTTTGCAATTAGTAGCGGTAGTTATCTTGATTTACCTAAAATTGTAATTAAGGTAGTTGCCGATTATTTTAGAGAAGTTTTGGACTGTGTCGTTTTTATAAAACGAACTTTGCAAAGAATCTTTTCTTCTAGTTTCTTTTAAATTTTGAGTATTCTGTAACTATTGTTGCCAATCGCTTTGATAAGTAGTAGACTGATTAAATAATTGTAATATAAATATTAATGCTTGCGTAACTTTTTCATGTTTAATTTTCAGTTCATTAATTGTAATTTTAATAATGGGCCTTTTGATTCACTTTGTTATTTTGTTTGATGTAATAAATAGAGTAATTATTATTTTAGTACTTTATTCTTGCTCATGATTTCATTTAAATTTGTTGTGTCTTTTTATTTTCCTTTTTTGTAACTTACTTAATAAGAAAATATTAATTTCATCTTGTGCATTTCCTTTGAATCTTTTTTAAATTTTTTTTCCCTTTCAGTGGGACACGGAAATTTGTCTGTTGTTAGTACAAAATCTGGTAGACTTAGCAAGGTATGTCTTAATTTAGCACATTCTGCTTTTATCTAATAGTTAAGAAAGCATCTTTGAAGAATAGTTATATTGAGAAAAATCATACTACATATAATTTTCAAATTTTGTTTTAACAGAAAAGTCAGATAGGAAGCCTTTTGGGATCTGAGTCTGACTTTGGGGACGAAGTACTTGGTGATAATGATCGTCAGGGACAATGGATTAGGAGAAGAAGATTGGATGGAGCCCTTAATAGAGTTCCCCCAAAATTTTATCCAAGAATTTGGAAAGTATTGGAAAGAGTAAGAAGAAAAATTAAAATATAAATTGCATAAATTATTTCACGGATTACGTTTTAGTGCCAGGGGATCGACATTGCAGGCAAGGTGTTGCCCCAACATTTAACGCAGGAGATGACACCAGGAGAATTGAAATTTGCTCTTGCTGTTGAGACCGTTTTGAACTCTATACCCCAACCAGAGTACAGACAACTTATTGTGGAAGCGCTAATGGTTTTGACGTTAGTGGTGGAGTATAACGTTGCCCCGTCTTTAGGGGGTATTATTCAAATTGAGCACCTCGTACACACTGCAAACGAGCTCTTTTTGGAAGACCAGGTAAGACACTATTATTATTATTTTAATTTATTGCAAGCGATTCATAAAAGGGAAACAAAATATCGTACAATGTACAAGAGCTCCCTTTTAGATGAAATGTGACGGAGATGCGACTCTGTGTTGCGCTAAACCAAAAGATAAAAGGGAATTGACCCCTCAGGGGACATTGCTGTGCGCGGGAGCTGCGTATATATGTCAACATTTTTATGACAGTGCTCCCAGTGGCTGTTATGGTACAATGACGTACATAACGAAAGCTATTGTGTTCGTTTTGGAATGTGTACCTAAACAGGGGGAACTTGATTGCACAGTTAGTTAATTAATATATACCTGTCACCGTTTTAGCCAGATTGATTTTGTATATATATATATTTATAATTATATAATTTTGTTTTTCTTGCTATTTCGGTTTCATTAGAGCTATTACATTATCAATATATTTGTATTGTATGTAGTAATTTTAATGTTTGATTGTTTCCAATAAATGTGATAAAAAGAAATAATTAGTGTTACATTTTTTTTTTGTTTTTTTAAGGACAGTAATTTCAATTTGTCAGTAAGTCGTTTTTAGGAATGTATTTATATTGGCAAATCAATTTTAAAACAATCAATTTTAGAAAACTAATTTCATGAAAATGAATATCGCAATTACTGTGGATAAATTGATTTTTGTGGAGCAATTTTCCACATTATTATTTAAAAAAGTTTCCCTGATAATGATATAATGCTACATTTATATTCTGTTTATTGTTAAAATGCGTTTGATAGATTTTTTTTAAGATTTACTTTCATTTAAAAGGCAATGATTATTTCCATATAGGTACTATTTATTATATTTGTAATAATGAACATACACAAAAAAGAAAATCAAATCTACAATTTTGTCAGTTTATAAATTTAACTGTTTATGTTTCATGCTTTTTACCAAATGGATTAATCTTTTCAATCCATGAAACAGTCTTCCTACAAACAAATCAATAATTAACAAATTAAGTTCAGATGTAGTTTTAGATTCTTACGTAATTTCTTGGTTGACTTCTTCATTTGAGGCAGCATTTTGATGTAATTTTTCAATTAATTTCGTCCTATATATTTGTTTGAGAGGAACAGGTCTATTTTGTGCCTCTAAAGACTTTTCCAATTTGGCACAAGCTTCTTGAAATGTGTAACCATACCATTCAATTTCTTCTGCAGTATACTAGAAACATATTCATATAAGATTCAAAATAAACATACAAAGATAAATTTAAATCTTACTGCTGTTAAATATTGACTATAACGACTTAGAACTGCTTTCTGTTTTTCTGGATTATTTTGATATGCTGGGCAACCATTTTGCAGCTCTTCTAGAATCTTCCTTTTAAGCCTCAAGGGCAATAAAAGTCTTAAATCACAGGCTGGTGTCTACAAATGGCATATGTAAAATATGTAAAATCATTTTAAGCAATCGTACCTTTAATAAATAATGATCAAACCCATAATGTTCATGTATTATATTAAGAGCCTTATCAGTTATTATAACAGACATATAATTATCTAAAACTTCACTGTAAACAACTGATCGCTTTAATGTTGGCACCCAAAAGTGTGGAACTCTTCTGTTATTCTTGGTGTTGCGCTTTTGAAAACCTTGGACAACACCTTCTCCTCCCCAGATATGATTTTCTGCCTCTGGGGGAAACTGTAGAGGAATATGGAAGTTCTGTACAGGAAAGCTATAATTAAAATGTTATTGCAAGATGTTGAGATGCTCATAGAGAATCTTACACTTCACCAGTAACTTCATCTCGCTTCCAATTACCTTCTTCAGGGATATAGTGGACTGCAGACGGTTCTGTAAGTTGCCACTCTTTGTAAAATTTCTTATACGCTTCTGGAAGCCTTGCTCCAATGCCTTTATCGAATTTTTTTATCTTTGAGATAATATTTTGAGGAAATCGAAATAGTTGCTAAAAGGTTAGGAAATATTGTAATGTTTGCTCAGATGTTATTATTAAAGATACATACCTGGGAAGACATGGCTCATTTAGAAATTAAAATAAGTAATTATCCTTTTAAATAAATATCCCAATAAGTCAATTAATATTTTGGAAATATCGAGATGAACTATAATTTTTCAATATGAATTGTGTGTTGCATAACCTAACGGTACATTTACTAACGTCTTGATTCATTAGAACTATTAGTTTACTAGTGGTTTATTTGGCCTACGATTTTAATTTAATTTCTTTTCATGTAGTTGTTATCGAAAAATAAATAGAAATGAACATTTATATCCATATATTAATTGTATATTTTTTAGTTTATTGATATTTGAAAATCTCTGTTGCCAATAGATATATGTTTTAATAGTAATTTACATAAAATTAGAATAATTCCTTTAAAACATTAAACTGTTTAGTATTACCAATGATTTTGTGTTTCAGAAATAGAGTTTATTTTTGCGGTATTTATATTTTATGTGATTTGCAATTCTTTTTTTGCCACTGTTTTATTTGAATTTCCACCAATCGCCTGTAAATTGACATAAGCTTTTTGCTTTTTCGTTGGTCCGCATTCGGTTTGAAAGCTTCGCTTCGGAAAACTCCGGTATGCGTCCTGCTACGTCCTGCGATTCAATCGTGTGCGATCGATTGAATTGATTATACCATGCAGAAATGTGGCTTGTAGACGCAGTTTTCGAAAATAATTTAGATAAATACCTTTGCAAATGCCTTTTATGCGGCGTAGTGATGATAATTTTGTGCAAATACGCTCTTTAAAATGTTTTTTATACCTTCAAAGAGGTGAGTGAGTTAGTTTTCCGTAACGTAGGGAGTTAGCGAAGCGCTTTTCTTAATCATCTTTTAAACAAATGGTAGGAATGGCAGTGAATAGGTAATTTTCACAGAAATATTACGTTTTTATAATTCTCATGCGAATATTTTTCCGGTAGATGTATATTAGGTAGGTACTTGCAGAATATTAAAGGAAATATCGCATTTTTGCGCGTGTGGTGTAAAGATTCATGGGATCTACAGTAAGGTTTTGACGTTAGTGGTGGAGTATAACGTTGCCCCGTCTTTAGGGGGTATTATTCAAATTGAGCACCTCGTACACACTGCAAACGAGCTCTTTTTGGANTCTTCCTTAATTTTTATAAATAACCAATTGGTCAAATTCTTAAATAAAATTGTATAGGTACTTCTGTGTGGTCTGGTATAATAATCGACGTGCAAATTTTTGGACATTAGTTGTGTGAATACGGACATGCCTTCGGGACTATTTGGACAATGCGAATATGAGATGATTCGTAATTTTGAGTTCGCAGACGTTCTTACAGTTCCTTACGCGCGAAAATGCGGAAGTGCGTACAGTTAACCGCGGGAGTGGTGAAAAGAAAGAAATTGTCACAGGAAACGTATTTTCAAGAGTTTTTGGATTTCTCCTTTCAGAGGCATTGGATTGAAGCTATTCGTTTTCTTCGTCAGGGAGCTTAAGGTAGGATTATTATAAAATGTGCATGTCTATTAATTATTTACATTTGTTTAATGGTGGGTAAGCTGTAATTTGAACTGTGTGGCAAATCCATAGTTAAAATTTAATATTAAAGGGTTGTTTGACTAGTTTTTGCGGTAGGATAATGCCTATGAAATAATTTCCCACTGGGATTATTTTTTGAGTACAAAACCATCCAATATTAAATTATTATTTTTCAATCAAGGTTGTTCCTGTCCTACAAATTGGTTCTTCTATATAATATACATTTTTTTTTGTATATATGTACACAAAGATTTAACTTAAGGGAGGGTAAATTTAAGGAATAAGTCATTTTCAATTTGTGCATATCCTTATTTATTAGATCGCGCCAGTACTTCAGTACCTACTTTATATTCATTGTAAGCTTGAATTATTTGTGATTAATTTTTAGATAAGTTTAGGTCATTTCAGACATGCGATTATCAGTAAAACTTCATTTAAACTTTGCTTGACTTTAATGTCAAACCAATTTATTATACGTGTATGAAACAGATTAATTTTTCGTTGAGAAAGCGAGTAGATTTACAAAATTAAGTTTTCTCTTTCAAAATTGTTCTCTTATAAATATCATTTTTGACGAAAATTATTTATAACTTTAAATTTTAGATAAAAAGAGTTTTAACGCAATATTTTTTAAAGTAAAGGTACATTCAGAAAAATTGAAAAAAATTTATGTATATAGAGAAGAAGTTGCGGATTAACAATGTTAATTAGGTAGACGAAAATTTATTCAAAGCTATTGCTTTTGAAATTTTAGTCAATATGTTTGCTTATAAAGTGCGATCCGATTTGTTTCAAATTGAAAGTGATTTGTTCTAAAGAAAGGATAATTTGTTTGGCAAAAATATTTCGTATATTTTGTATATGAATTTATCGAAACAATATCTTCACGTTAATGAATAGAAAATGCTCGAGTAATAAATTGTTTTGTTCTTCTGGTAAAATTATCTTTTATCGGCAAACGTTGTCGTTTTCCGCCGAAGCGCAAATGGCATGGGAATGGGCCAGGAATAATTTTCCGCTGCTGCACACACACAGTTGATAAACTTCGTGACTTTTCGACTGCGTCGATCTCGATGAAGGGATGGCGGTCGGCAAGTTTTGCATCTTAACCGAACCGGACTCTAACCGTATTTCGCCCGCGACAGATTTTAACTTAATGTCCCGAAAAGACACCCCGTTTATTTCGCCTGCCCTGGACTCTATCTTGATCCCACCGGGCGCACGAATACCTAACGATCTTGTCGGCGATTCCAATCTGAAAACAATATTGGGTCCATTATTCCGTTATTTAGCTTTAGACATCCACTAAAGAAGAAGGGTCCACCAGGGAGATTTTTTCCATTAATACTTAGTAAAAAGTAGAGCCCTACTTTCCTTCGTGCATAGTAAACTTTAATTTATTATAATTTTCAAAATGTTTTTTAATGTATTTAGCAAGTTTACAATATTTTGATTTAAATTTTTTATACCTTTATAACAGTCAACTCATCAAGGTACCTCAAGGTATATTTATTTTTATAACTTTTGTTAAAACTTTTACAATGTGATCTATTAATTAAAGTGTTTCACAAGGAAAGCACCGAACGAAATGTGTGCTTTATTTTTCAATAAATGTCTCAAATTTTGAGACATAAATTCTATCTAAAGGGGGCTCTACTGCTTATGTATGAGTTCGAATGAAAACCCTCATGGACTCTTTCATCTTTTATTTTTGATAATTAACTGTTATACTTTTTTAAGAAGGACGAGATGAAATTATTGTATAATATTGCGTACAGTTGGACTAATTATTTTAAATATCACACTTTATTGGACTAACTCACCCTTTGATGGAAAATTTTATCAAGAATTTGTCGAGTTACCAATCAGAGAACAATATCATAATCTTCTAAATGTAATAATCTAATAATGATTAGTTTTAACGATGTATTTCAAACTTATTATTTAAAACATGGGTAAAACTAGATATTAGTCTATTAAGAAGTCTATGACATTGTTCTCTGGTTATAAACTCGACGATTTCCTTGATAAAACCTTCCATTAATGGGTGAGTGTAATGAAGGGTTTGTCTAATTAAGAGTATTTATATCTGAGAAAATTTTGCACATTGGTATTGCAAATTTGATCAGGGAAATTAAAGGAAACTAATTAATTTTATGTTTCATTGCTATTTAGATATCGTATAACTGTCATTTCCAATTTTGTTTTAGACTTGCTGTAATATATACCTTTTGTCATTTTGTATAGATTTTCTAATCTTTAAAGCATTTGTAAAGGTCAATAATTAATGATTTTTAACTATTCACATTATTTTATAGACCGTTGGTACAAATTGCATTTTTTCTTTTAAAGGATGGGGTTGGTTTTGTAAAATTTAATTATCGTAGTAGCAGCTTCTTGAAATATATATATATATATGTACAGTTATCTGTGTGCAATCTTTACAATAGTTGAACCATCGCGTAAATTTGAATCGTTTTTACGCTTCGTTCTCCATTTTATATGAGCCTTCTCGTACGTTGCATATCAAGACTTCCTGTCCTATTAAATTCTTAAGGAGTCGTTTTGTTTTTACGACTTACATTTTCCCTATGTATGTGTATATGTATTGAGTTATATCACGCCGAAAGTTGAATTCGTAATATTCAGCCGGCGAAACGAAGTTTCATTTAAGCGTCGTATTACTTTACAGTGTAAAAGTTTCATTTATACGATGAAAAATGGAAATTTTATCTGGAACGACATGGAATCAAACCTGGAGTTTTAATTTCATATCGTGAATGTTGTAAGATTGTAACAGATAACAAATAACAAAACTATCCAAGCTATGCGGAACTTAAGGCGTTATAAAAGCACATGAACTAATTTGTGGATGTCGTGAATAAAATTAATTTTCAGTTATATTTGATTCAAGAAACACGAGTTTCAGGTTTCAAAACGGTTAGTACAGGCGATATAATTGTAAGGTATAAGTAATTGAGGGTTCGTAATTAGGATTTTGATTGGTATGACGTTGTTAAAGAGCTTATTTGCTATCAGAATTCTCTCATTTCGTATTGAGTGCTTAGAGTTTAGAGTAATCTTTTAGATTTTTATTTTGAGATGAAATTTAAATGTAACAGTTTAAGGGTAAATGGCTTAACTTTTTAAATTATTGCTGTTAAATGAGATTTAATTTTTAAAAAAGTTGAATTTAATAAGAACGAAAACAGTAACTTTTTTATTATTTTTCTCTTCCTTAATTTTTATAAATAACCAATTGGTAAAATTCTTAAATAAAATTGTATAGGTACTTCTGTGTGGTCTGGTATAATAATCGACGTGCAAATTTTTGGACATTAGTTGTGTGAATACGGACATGCCTTCGGGACTATTTGGACAATGCGAATATGTGATGATTCGTAATTTTGAGTTCGCAGACGTTCTTACAGTTCCTTACGCGCGAAAATGCGGAAGTGCGTACAGTTAACCGCGGGAGTGGTGAAAAGAAAGAAATTGTCACAGGAAACGTATTTTCAAGAGTTTTTGGATTTCTCCTTTCAGAGGCATTGGATTGAAGCTATTCGTTTTCTTCGTCAGGGAGCTTAAGGTAGGATTATTATAAAATGTGCATGTCTATTAATTATTTACATTTGTTTAATGGTGGGTAAGCTGTAATTTGAACTGTGTGGCAAATCCATAGTTAAAATTTAATATTAAAGGGTTGTTTGACTAGTTTTTGCGGTAGGATAATGCCTATGAAATAATTTCCCACTGGGATTATTTTTTGAGTACAAAACCATCCAATATTAAATTATTATTTTTCAATCAAGGTTGTTCCTGTCCTACAATTTTTTTTTGTATCTAAGCCCTAAGAGTCATTTAAGAAGGCAAAATATTTTTTTTGTAAAATAAGAAAAACTTCCACTGAAGAGTACTAGTTTAATGTTTAGGGGCTAATTTTGTCAAAATCTTCTATTTGAGTTGATGCCCCTGGTGTAGTCTTCATGAGTCTGTAGCTATACCAAACGTTTTAATTTCGTGAAATTGTGGTACTGTATATTGTATATTTTTGTATGGCGTATCATATTATGAATAATTTCGCCTAGAGATCCAGCAAAATTTGCATCGGAACAAAATGTTTGTTTAACAAAATGCTTGAACGACCCGCTTTTTCAATAACGGAAATGAACGTCTAACCAAACGTTCGATAATTATGCCAATATTGATTTAGCAGAAAAATTACGTGCACTATCCGATTAGAGGTTCACTTCGATTGAGGCATCAATTCGGAAAATAAATGACATTGCCCGGTCATAAACATGTCTCTGTGTCTATGTATGTATGCGCGTTTGTGACCATGTAGTGCTTTGGAATATACGCTCGAATGTTGAAGTTTTTGAAAGCGTAATTCACTTTTTCAATTAACGGAAATGCGTCCCTAAAAAGTGAATATTTTTCATGATACAGTCTCGTGTCTGTTAAGTTTTTTAATAAGTAAAAAGAAATAATTATAATTATGAAATTATCGAAAAGTATGGTGAAGGAAATTTTTTAATGGATTTCAGAGAAATTGGGAAAATTTCATTTCAGTATCCAAATAAAAATGATCAGTAATTTGAAATTATGTATAAAATAAATAGGAAAAAACTGAAATGCTTTTACGTATTATAAATAACACTATAATTTAATATTCTTCATAACTTTGGCTTCACAGTAGGTAAGCAAAGAAAATAAATATAATGGATTTGTACAGTCATGTAAATGACATTTCTGTCGATAAAATTCTGATGATTGGACAAAAACATCGATGTACAACTTCTTCGTTAGCGTTTTGTAGGCACATCCTTAATTATCCCGTTTAAAATAGAACTTTCAATGTAATGCAATAAAAAGGTACAAGTACAAGTATGATTTTTCAAAAATCGTATATAGCATTAAATTGAAACAGACTGATTCAAGTCATTTATAAAAGTAAAATAGGATATTCTAGTGTCCTTACAATGTTAAAATTTGGTAGTAAAGAGGGACTCACAGTGCAAGTTAAGGAAACAGAAAACAACGTTGTTCTCTTTTCTGTATTATTGGTTTTGGTGGGAATATTTATTACCTACTGAATATTAAAAAGGCCTACAGTTTTTAATGTTGTTTAAAAAAAAAATTTTTGAAGAATGGACAGTCTTCGTTTTAGAGCATTATAAACAAGCAATTGTTTTTTTTTTGGAATTCGCCAGACTCACAATTGAAAGGTCGTTCGCTATTTATGGGACACCCTGTATATGCATTTTATGACTACTATATAATTGACATTGGGGTCGTCGTTCCGAAGACTGATTCCTGTGAGTCAAACTTCGCATTTCCCGTAAACTTTTCTTGCTTCTGCTTTTAGTACGTCTCCAAATAAACCTTATGTCTAAATAGGTGTCCTACTGTAATTTCTATCCTTTTCCTTATTGACTTCATCTTTGTTCTTCTAATGTCTTCAATTTCTCCACATTTCTGACCTGTACTACCTGCTTCTAGCTTTGTTTTTTAATTATGTTATTTCGATCAGTAGGAGTCTGTAGTTGAAAATGAATTCGTAGAGAGTGTCGAAAAGTTGTCGAAAAACAAAGAGATGTCATTGCAATGACTTTTTAATTCGAACTACAAAATCCCAAAGAAAATGGTCCTCTTACATTGAGGAATGTATGCCAACACTATTGGGATCCGTCAAATGGGAGGAGCCTAAAAACATGGCGCCGATTAGGGAAAATTTATCGTAGTTCCTATAGTGTACCGTGCAATTTCCAAGTTTTTAAATTACGATAAAATGATAAGTATTGACACAATATGTGATTGGGCTGACACAAAGCCTCGGAAAGGAAATTTCGTTGAAGGTGAGCGTGTTTT